CAATGGCATTTAACAACAACAACTTAAGAGTTAAGAATATCTCTATAAAGATGATTTTTTTGCTTTTAATTATCCTTCACATAACCTTGAGATAGACCTCACTAGTATTATAAGTATAATATATGTTAAAGATCACTTCCCCAGTGTGATTCACATTGCACTTCTGAACCTAGAGAAGAGAAGAAAGGGTCATAAGTTTCAAGAAGCAGAACAAGCCAACTGTGGAAAAGAGCATGGATAGTTCACTTCCAACTAGGTAGTACTCGCCCCACTCATGATGAGGGTTTGGAATGAGACTACTTTCTCCCCATTCTACATCAGTTATTCTCTCTTTTCTCTATGGATTACTTTGGAAAATTCCATTTCATACCAAGTTTATTTTTCTGTGTGAAAGACTACATGAAAAGGAATTTAATCATCTATGTGATTATATGTAGTGACATATACTGTTGTGCAACAACTTTCCCTGTTGATCTAGAAATTCAGGAGTTCTTAAAAAAAAATTCCAGGTACTCAGTAGTATTGGCTTCTTTTATGTGTGATGAAGTACTTATTAATTAGCAAGACTTTAAAAATAATTTTAATAGTATTTTTATGTACTTGAATTGTTTTTCTAGCGCAAAGGTCACGCAGATTTTCCGCTGTAAAAGGGACATGTTTTTAAGTTAGAGGTCTTGTCTTTTCTTAAGTATATTTAATCATATGATTGGAAAGTTGCAAAATCCAGAAACTCCCAGTGGACTTTCTGTTACTTCAACAGGCGCGTGAACTGTGTTTGGTTGGCAGTGACTTGAACTACGTTAAATTACAAAGTACTCTTATAATTTTTCTCCTAAGACCTCGGAATAAAGAAACTTCACCTAATAAACTCATCATTTAAGGTTACAATAGTTTTGTAACCACATGTATGTAAAAAAACCAGCTACTGAAATGAATTCTCTTCAACATAGCAAATACCAAGAGAAAATGAAACTTGCAAATATATGGTATCTGGACTTGTTATAAAGGGTGCATAGAAGCTTTTAGTACACTCTACAGGAAAAGTGTCTAATTTTTTTCAAGTGTAATTACATGGTTCTAAAGCACCTTAATAAATTCATTGGCACTTGGATATGTTGAACTTTGATACCGCTGCCCTAGCCTGTTCCTTAATGGATTCTGATTTGAGTTAAAGTCATGTCATTTCCCCTACCCCACCCCTCCAAGTTTGTCCTTGATATTTGAGGAAGATAGACGTAGTGTGTAGAGCTTTTGGAATGACAGGACCTACAAACAGTCCATTTAAATGAGGAAACCATTATGTAATGCCCTAAAACATATTTTTTGAATAGAATCAGTTCCTTAAACAGTTAGAATAATAAATTTTAAGAGCGTTTTCTAGGTATTATTTCAGAGCTTTTCTTATGCTGTTAGCTGTACTTTAATATGACATCATCACAACATTCAGTGTTTTATGAACTTTAAACAAAGTAGACGCTAAATTGAACTATGAGATAATCCTTATCCCTTGTGAACTCTTAAAGGAACTGGCCAGTTTTGAGGTTTCTATTCCCTTATGGCTACATCTTGACCTAAAGGGCTGGTATAATCCAAGAGAATGAGTAACATTATTTCATAAATCTAAGCTAGTTAGTATTTATGATCTCTAAAAGTACCTGTTAGAATTTGTATTTCAGTCTAATTAGGTTAATTATAAACTATGAAGAGTGCTGAAAATAAAGATTTGCCACAAAAAACAATACAGTGGTTTTCTTCTTATTTACTTTTAAAATGACCATTGCTTAGCTAATTGAGGAAAATAGTAAAAAATAGGCATGACTGCAAAGTCTAAGTGAAGCTTAATGTCTTGTGCAGAATGTATTTGGCAATACAGGTCTACGGCAGCTGGTAGAGGTGGCACTTGTAAGGATAACAGGAAGTGAAGTCTGTCGGAAACATTGGCCCCTTCTGAATTTCTAGCTGGTTCTTTCTTTTCATTTGTCTTAGTCTTAAATTCTGTACACAGGATTCTCCTTTTCAGTCTGAATTAAAAAGTAGTCACTACATTCTTTATACATGACTGAGTTGTATGTAATCCTGACTTGATAATTTTGTACCAGGGAACTTTCTAGTAGTGTCTTGTCTTATGCATTGGGTATATGAAGTAAAATGTAACGTAGTTCATATATCAGTTACCAACAAACTTAGAGAGCCTATGCTCGAGCTTAGAAAGAAGGTATGATATAACTGGGTAATGTGGACTCTCAGAGGGAAAACTTCAATGATTTTCATGAGCACTAGAAAAGTGATGAATGTGCTCTGTCAGCAGTGGTAAGGTTGGAAGACAAGGGAAAGCAAGGCAGTCCTGTCAGTACCAGCGCTCACAGGTTTCATTGTGTCTAAAATTAACCCATGTAATACGCTTCATAAAACGATTACTTGAAAATGATCCCACATTACCTTTTATTATTTTAGTGAAGGATGTAAAATTACTCCTTCTTCCACCATCATCATTTTTCTTTCTGTCAGGACAGGCCAGGGTTCGGAGCTGTTGCACAGAGGGTCACTGTGATTAGCAGGCGACTTGATGGCCCATAACAACAGCGACAATTCTCACCAAAGTGAAGAACTACCAATTTACATGCGTATACCTCTGAAAACCCATTGGAGGGCCAGCTGTGGGTTGGTGCTGACTCTTGTGGTATACAACAACACATGCACATACACACATACTTACACACACACACACACACATTCATGTACACAGACACACTTTTTAAGGCTCTTTCATTCTGTTTTAAAAGCTACCAGTGCTTCCTAAATAAGGTACAATTCTAAAGTTTTTAGGACTTCGTTGGTATTGTGTATTTTTTTACTTGTAAGGAAAAGGTAAGTAAAAATCCCATAACCCTTATGTGGGAATGTGGGGCGATGGAAGGGGGAGGAAGGGAGGCTTTTTAAATTGAAGGTGATGTTGGTGATGAAGTTGCTATTGACATACCAGATTTATTTGCTTTGAGAAGCTTCTTGAGAAGAACATGGAGTCTTTGAACAGAGCTAAACTATTTCAGAATCATATGACTGTTGGACTTAATTAAAACTCTAGACTTTCATTGACATTGTGCCTGATCTTTTGCCCTATTTTCACTCTTGATTCTCCTAATGTGTTTTTCTCTTTTCTGGGGGTGGTGAACAGTCTATAAATAATACCTTATGCAGAGCTTTCTCTGATCTCTGCCCTTTGTTCACTTCTTTAGTGACTTAGGTTAGCTTTTTCTAGGAAAACATTTTTCAATCATTAAACTTTTGGGTGAAGAATGTAGAAAACAATTTTTAACCCCCTCTTTACATTTCCCCCCAATATTCAGAAAGTTGGAAGTGAGGAAAGTATTTTTAATTTGGGCAACAAAGATTAGAAAAATGATGATGCTGTCTTGGTTTTCATTCTTTGACAGGGTAAGAAGAGTCTTTATGTATAATGTGTGATATGTTGTTGTTTTTAGGTGCCATCAAGTTGACGTTGACTCTCTAAAATGACTACTGTGAACCTTGTTCTATGCTGGGCCTTCCTCATTGTTTCTAATATTCTTGAGTCCATGCTGAAATCTCTGTGTCAGTCTAGCTTGCTGGGGGTCTCCCTTTCTTTCTCCAGCCCTCCAGCTTTTCGAGCGTGCTATCTCTTCCCAAAGATAATTCCCTCCTGAACTAGATAATCATGTCCAAAATTTGTCTTAGAGGAAGTACAATCAATGCGTGACATCAAGGTTTTCCAATGTGTTTACTCCATCCCTGTTAAAATAATTTTATGTTGCTAAGTTATAAAAATGCCCAAGACTTTTAGAAGGCAGGAACTACCAAAGAGGGGTTGTTATTATAATGCTGAGGATTGTGGCAGATTTGTAATTATTAAACTGATCTGTGTGCTGAGCCTGTGTATTTTTAAACACATGTAAAACTAGACTTGAAGGGTAAAACTTCTATTCGAAAATTGGAAAGAGCCATGTATTAGATGAGAAATTCATATTAAAATAAGGTTAGGCCACACATGCTGGTCCTCTGTTACCATTGCTGTTTTGGACTGTCATGATGGAACTGACCCATAGTTGACCTTCAAGAAGATTTTCAGAGTCAGTAAATTGTACAAGAAGCTCTGGTGGTCTAGTGGTGAGGAGCTGTGCTACCAAACCAAAGGCACATGGTTTGAATCCACCAGCTGCTTGATGAGAAAAAGACAGGAAATCTCCCGTGCAGTTTATAGCCTCTGAAAACTCTCTGGAAGGTAAACTATGGTCAGTTTCAACTTGAGAGTACATAACAAATCACACAGGAAGAGATTGTTCATCTTTTCTAGGGAGCGTGTGTTAGATTGAAACTTCATACTTTGTGTTGGGCACACAATTCTTTAGCAGACTAACATTTTACACATATATCTGATCACATAACATTTAATATAAACACTCATCACTAATATTTCATACTATATAATGCCTTATAAGATCATAGCACATTTTGCATAATAGTGACTATTTTTATCCTTTATAGTTCATATCTACATGGAAGATTGGGAACATACATATTTTTCTACTTTATCAAAACTTTTTATTAAGTAATACTTTTAAAAATGTCATGATTATATACAATGAACTGTAAATCCAGAGTCCTTAGTCTTGTTTTGGTTTGCTTTCTATCTTTCTCTCTATCTAATATTAGGGAATCCTAGTGACTGGTGTGTTTATGTTGTTGTTGATTGCCTTCAAGTCGAGTACGACCCATAGCGACCCTATGAACAAAAGGCCTGAAGCCCCTCTACAACTATTGACATTTATCAAAGTTCATAGAGTTTCCGGAGGCATGTGTATTTATATAGATAACATTATTAATGATATAATAAGCTTTTAAGACTCTGCAGAAGGAGACATTTTGGAAATAGTGATGGGGGTGGAGTTGAAGGAGTTGATGTTGCTATTTATAGAGACTGTTAGAACATTTTTAATTGCTGTGCCCTAATCTCATCTTTCTAGGTGGATTAAATTTGAAGAAAAAGTAGAACAGGGTGGGGAGAGATGGAGCAAGCCCCATGTGGCCACCCTGTCCCTTCACAGTTTGTTTGAGCTGAGGACGTGCATGGAGAAAGGATCCATCATGCTTGACAGGGAGGCGTCTTCCCTCCCACAGTTAGTGGGTGAGTATATACTTTTCAATTCCTGTCATTTTTTTTGAGCTTTACCTAACCATGAGTCTCCATCATTACAGATAAGTTTTAGTGCAAGCAGAGTTAAAAAGGTTATAAGAGTTACCATCTTTATTTATGTTACAAATCCAGTGTAGTTTAGTGAAGACAATTTGAAAATTACACATGAAAAATTAATAAGAAAAACAGAAACTTAACCATCATACTTCCATTTTGTCATAGCCATTATTGCTGTTGCCATTTATACTTGTTTCCCTCCAGTTCTTTTCTTTGTCTTCTTTTACTTTATTTCTTTTTTCATTACTTTAGTAGTTTTTTGTTACAGTGGAGACTTTATGTACAGATTGGCATCTACTTCCTTAATTTGTACATATAAGGTTAATACTTTTCATGTGAGATGTGAATCCTGCTTCAGCTTTCTGCAGGGAGCAGTCCAGTTTTGCCAGCACAGTTTGTTGAAGAGGTTGTTGTTTCCCCATTTGATAGGTTTTGTTTCCTTGATGAGTATCAGTTGATTATTGATATATGTGTTAATTTCTGGGTTCTTGCTTCTATTCCATTGGTCAGTGTGCCTGTCATTGTACCAGCACCTTGTTGTTTTAGTCATTACAGTTGTGTAGTAGGCTTTGAGATCAGAGAGTACTATGCCTCTCATTTAATTTTTATTTTTCAGAAGTGCTTTGTGGTATCTCTTTACTCTCCAAATAAACTTAGCAATTGCCTTTCGATTCTTTGAAAAATGAATTTGCTATCTGTATTGAGATTGTATTAAACGTGTAGATTGCTTTAGATATGATTGCCATTTTCACTATATTGAGGCTTCTGTGCATGAACAGGAATAATATTTTTCCATTTATTTAGGTCTTATATTGCTCATAGAAGTGTTTTGTAGTGCCTTTTTTTTTTAAAAGGTTTTTTGTGAGTCTAGTTAGTTTATTCCTAAGTGTCTCAATTTGTGGTTGACTATTGTTATTGGTATTGCTTTCTTAGTTTTAATCTTTGTGTTTTCTTTGTTATTGTAGAGGAATTCCACTAACTTTTGTATGTTGATCTTGTATCCTGTCACTATACTAAATTGGTCTAAATTTTTTTTTTTTAGTTTCTGTATACACTACCATATTGTTGTTGTTATTGTTATATACAGTTGAATCATCTGCATCTCATAGCGACCCTATATACAAGAGCCCTAAATTCTGCTCTGCGTTGTGTCAGTCTTATTGTCTCTGACACAACTACCTTAATTATCCCAGCCATTGAATCAGTTGATCTCGATGAGCGTCTCCCTCTCTTGCAATGTTCCCTCCACCCTCCCAAGCTTGACATCCCTCTCCAAGGACTGATCCCACCTTGCAACATGTCCACAGTATGTCAGACTAAGCTTCAGAATCCTTGCCTCCACGGAGCAGCCTGGTCTCACCCTTTCTAGGACGAACCTCTATGTTTTTCTAACAGTCCATGGTATATTTAGTACTCTTCTCTAGCACCACAGTTCAAAGGCATCAGTTCTCCTTCTGTCATCCCTAGTCATTGTCCAACTTTCTCATGCATAGCAAGTAATTAGACTATGGCCTTGGATCAGATGCATCTTAGGCTTTTAAATTCATTGCTCTTTAGCACGTTAGAGAGGTACTTGGCAGAAGATTTACCCAAGGTTGTACATTGTTTGATTTATTGATTGCTGCTTCTATGGATGTTGATTGTAAATCCAAGAAAAATTAAATCAACAACTTCAGTCTTTTCACATTTGTGGTGATACTTCTTATTGGTCCAGATCTGAGGAGTTTTCTTTGTGTTAATGTCTATTATTATTTTTTAAATTCAAGTTTAAGCTGGAGGAAACTGGAACAAATGCTCTGATGGCCTGGTGGTTGAAAAGTTTTGCTGTCAACCCAAAGGAAGGTGATTCGAATCCACTCCAAGGGAGAAAAATGAGCAGCCTTCCTCCTGTGTGATATCCAGCCTCTGAAAACCCACCAGAAAGTCAGCCATGAGTTGGTTTTGACTTGATGGCAATTAGAGAGTAAACAAGTCTATGAGAATTAAAATCGAATCTTTCACTGAATCTAGAAACTATTTCAAGGAGAGATTTGAGTCATTGAAAACTAATGACTGAACACCTAATGAGTTATGAGATGATGTCAAAGACATCATGTACAAAGAAAGCAAGAAGTCTTTACAAAGACAAGAAAGGAAGACAAGACAAAAATTGGTATTAAAAAAGACTCTGAAATTTGTTCTTAAATACAAGGAGGTAAAAGGGATAAATAACTAATGAACAGAGCTGACCATAAGATTTCAAAGGGAAGCTTGAACAGTCAAATAAATGTAATATAATGACATGTGCAAAGAACTGACATCATACAACTAAAAGGACAGACATATACTCAGCATTTCTCAAACTGAAAAAGTGAAGAAAAAAAATTCAGGCCCAGTTGTTGTTGTTAAGTGCCCTTGAGTCGGAGACGACTCTTGGCGACCCTGTGAACAAAAGACCTGAACACATGTATAACTTTCATCGTTTCTCCAAATTTTTAGAGGTGAATGCCACTCCTGCTTCCAAGCCTGTTTTAATTGGGCTCTTTGAAGAAGAGTGTGGCATCAGGATTGGAGGGAAACCTGCATTATGCAGATGTTACAACTTTGCTTGCTGAACATGATGGGGACTTGAAGCACTTGTTGCAGATGAGCAAAGACTACAGGCTGTAATATGGATTGTAACTCAACATTAATAAAACAGAAATCATTACCACTGAACCTATAGACAACATCATGATGTTGTTTGTTGTTGTTTAATGCCGTCGAGTCGTAGACTACTCATAGCGACCCTATGAACGAACAGCCTGAGTACTGTTCGTACATAGAGTTTCCAGAGGCAAGCCATTTTGGAAGTGGATGCTGCTCCTGCTTCCAGAACATCATGATAGATGGAGAAAAAACTGAAACTGTTAACAACCTTTCTTACTTTCATCGACATTTAGCACCCTTAGTACTAGCAGTCAGGAAATCGGGAAACTGGGAAAGTCTACAGTCGGAGACCTCTCCACATAGTTGAGGAGCAATGATATCAGTTTGAAAACTAAGGTGTGTCTGATTCAGGCCGTGATCTTTCCAGTCACTTGCTGTGCATCTGTGAGCTGGACAATGAATAAAGATGACAGAAGAATTGATGCCTTTGAGCTTTGGCATTGGCTAAATGTACTGACTATCCTATTGGCAGCCTAAAGAAAACACAAAGATGTCTTAGAGAAAATGTAGCCAGAGTACTCCTTTGAGGCAAAGATGTTAAAGCTTTGTCTCACATACTTTGGGCATGTTGCTAGGAAAATCTGTTCCTTGGAGAGGGACTTGATGCTCAGAAAGATGGAGAGTTGGTGAAGGAGAGGAAAATCTTCAGCCAGGTGGACTGTCACAGTAACTGCCACAATGGGCTCTAGTAAGTCAGAAAGTGTGACGATGGCACAAGATAGGACTTGGTTCAATTCTGTTGTTCTGGGTCGTTCTGGGTCATATTCGACTCGGTAGCACCTAACACCAAGAGCAGACCATTTCAGGAAGTAGTGTACAATCCAGAACCAATGGTTCTGAAAGAAGAAGTTCACATTTGACTGAAAGCACTAGCAAAAAGTTAAGACTTCAAGATGTAGTGCGAAATGTGCTTACTCATCAATACCAGGAAATTTGGAAGACAACTCCTTTGGCCTATTGACTAGAAGATCTGTATTTGTGTACATTTCAAAGAAGGTGATCTAACATAAAGTAGAAATTTTTGTACAATATCATTAATGTAAATGGACAAAAAATACTGCTGAAAAGAACTAAAAATTGCCAGAGTAGCACATTGACAGGACTGCCAGAAATTCAAGGTATATTCAAAAGAGGCTTTGGAGCGAGAAGTATAGTTGTTGATGCCAGTATATTTTGCCCGAGAACAGAGAGGACAAGAAAGATACATACCTGTGTTGTATTGACTATGCCAAGAAAATTTTACTGTGTAGATTATAATATATTATGGTTAACATTGAACAGGACTTTGAGCCCCCTTAATGTGCTCAAGCCAAACCTTTATATTGTTTTTGTCATGTGCCGTTGAGTTGCTTGTGACTCATAGCGAGCCTGTGAAATAGCCCTGAACCATGCTCCATCCTGTGTTAACCTTATTGTCTCTGACACACCTAACCTTCATTACTTCAGTCACTGAATCAATCCATCTCATCCAGGGTCTTCTTCTCTTGAGCTGTCCCTCCACCCTTCCAAGAATGATGTCCCTTTCCAAGGACTGATCCCTCCTTGAAACATGCCTAAAGTATGTCAGATGAAACCTCAGAATCATTGCCACCAAAGAGCAGCCTGGTTTCACCCTCTCTAGGACGAACATATTTGTTTTCCTGGCAGTCTGTGGTTTATCCAATACGCTTCTCCAGCACTACAGCTCAAAGGCGTAAATTCTTCTATCATCCCTAGTCATTGTCCCGCTTTCTGATGCCTAACAAGTAATTGCTAAAACTATGGTCTGATTCAGATGTACCTTAGTCTCCAGACTGGGCTCATTGCTCTTCCGTACTATGGAGATGTCTCTGACAGCATACTTCCCCAATGCAATTCATCTTTTAATTTCCTGGCTGCTGGTATTAAAAGTGTTGATTGTGGAGCCAAGCAAACGGAAACTGTTAACAATCTCAGTCTCTTCACTCTCTATTATGATTCTGTCAATGAGCCCAATGGTGAGAATTGTTGTGTTCTTGATGTTGAACTTCAATCTATATTGAAAGCTGCAGTTCTTATCCTTCTGGAACAAGTGCTTCAAATTCTCCTCAGTCTTAGCAATCAGAGTTGTGTCGTCTATGTAGTGTAGGTTGTTGATGATCTTCCTCCAATCCTGATGTCATACTCCTCCTCATACAGCTTCCATATGATCTGTTCTAGATATGGATTGAAAAAGTATGGAGAGAGAACACATCCCTGGTATACACGCCCCCCAATTTTGAACCATA